TTTCCTAAATTTTCCAAAACAAAATATTTAGGTGGCGACTCTGTATCTGGCAAAGCAGTCCAATTTTGGCATTTTTTATTCAAAATCAATTTCCCAAAAGATTTGCTAGATTTGGACTCTTTGGTATTTATCAATTTCACATTGCACTTAGGAGATTAGATTCAGAACCGCGGGAATCCGAACTGTATGGCTTATTTCGAGCCTCTGAAAGAGGGCGCGAAAAAGGCGAGCTACAATCTCTTTGGCGCCCCTCTTTCTCCCTCAGTAACTATCCGAAGTTCTACCTCACAATATTGAGGGAGCATAATGATATTCATAAACTAAAACGATCAATTAAGACAACATGGATTTAGGCATTTAACTCTAGGTAATATGACCATTTTCACATGTTATAGCAAACTATCATTTTCATGCTAGATAACATGCCATAGAGGCTACCTATCAACAAAAATGGTTGCTCTGCATATATAATTTAAGTTAAAAAACTATACATTGAGGTAGGTCTTACATTCAAGGAACTAAATATTGATATAAAATGATGGAATAGCATCTAGATGTGACTGTCAATTAAGATGACATGGTAATAAAGCAGCAATTCATCTGGCAAAAATTAAAATCCCATGAAACAAATGTTGAAGGAATCTCACAAACCAAAAGCTAATGAGCTATCAATTTGTAAAAATGAAATTTATCATGAAAATATTCTAGTAATGAGTGGAGATAATATTGACTGTAAAAGCTTAATTAAGGAATTTATTTATTGATGAGAGTTCAATTTGAAGAATTTATAACCAACCCTGACAATTAATTTCTCTCTCTCTCTCTCTCTCTTGACAATTTAAGTAATTAAGACCATAAAATTCAGTAGTCGGAACAACTTCTTATCCTTGGGCATTTAATTAGGCTAGATGAACTATAATATTTCGGCGGTGTTACATTCACCAGTTAGTGTACTAACTAGTATACCAACACTAATTATGACATTATTATTGACCCCACTCGTTAATCACATTACAAATACCAAAAACCTCTTAAATTATGCCACATCATTAATTGGTACACCAGTTAGTACGCCAATTGGCACATATAGTATTATTCATAATATTTAGCAATCAATTAAATGTTACCTAGGAAACCAAGTAAAATAAATGCCATTTACATCATAAAACACTTCGGATTATTTTAAAAAATTTAGTTGGGGCTCAAATTTTGTTTATACAACCGTTTGATATTTTTGTGCAAGAGAAAATGTAAGCACACACGAAATCCAAAATGCAAAGAAAAAACAAACAACAAGACCCTTAAAAAGCATATCCAATTCATATCCTAGTCTTATTGTTCTGCATAAATAATTTTATCTTGATTGGAACGTAAGGATACTCCATAACAATACACAAACAAACCAGTTGACTTTTACATTATCATTTATCACAATCTATTCATTCTCTTTTAGGTTTTGGATAACCTAGCAACCACAAATCCATGCACAATTTTGTTAAATACTGCTCATTCAATAAAGATTGAAAACCATATTTAGCAAGCTCGTATTAATCCAAGCCAATTAAAGAATGTCAAACCTTGTCAATTAGAGATATGATCAAGAAAACTTCATCACCTCCAATGATCAAAGCAACAAGTTCATTCACACTAAGATCCTCTTTTACCTCTCGCCCAAAACAAAACCAAATGAAATCCAAATTCAACACAATAAAACCCTAGAGAAAAAAGGTTACAGAACAAAAATTCATGGCGTTACCAATTAGCGAGGGATCTGAACTCGAACGAGAGAGGTAAGAGTAATCAATCAAGCTCTGGGGGCACCAGATCGGTAGCGGTAGAGCTTGCCAAAAATGTGGAGCGTAGTGACGAAGCTGAAGAAGCAGAGGCTCATGACGAGGACGACATTGGGGCTGATCTTCAGGCCTGGGGCATTGTCCGTGTAGAACCTGAGGACGTTGCTTCCGATGTAGAAAAAAGAAAAAGAAAATATAATGAACAAGAGAATAAATAGGGAGAAAGAGAAAGACCGAGATCGACAGAGAGGGAAGAGAGACTGAGTGCGACAACGCGAGAGAAAAATACCTGTGATTCAGTGGTCGTGCTGATTTGTAGTGGCCACGGTGGCGAGCGCTGGTGGCTATGGTGGTGAGCGTCGGTGGTGAGGTTTTGTATTGACTGTTCTCTGTTTGGTGTGCGAGACAGAACAAATCAACAAAAACAAAAAGTGTTTTTGTGTGAACAGTATCGGGCGCCAATATAATGGATTTCTCTCTAAAAAAAAAATTCAATATTTAGCGACCAAATTATTTTTTGTCTGCAAATGTTGCCAAAAACTAACATTTGGCTACTAATTGTTATTTTCGTCAGCAAAAATTTAATATACAACGACTAAATTATTTTAGTCACCAAAAGTTCATCTAAGTGTTCCTATTATTTGGTGACTAAATTTATTTTTGCCAACAAATAACAGCATACGGCGACTAAACAAGGAATTACTGGCCTAAAATTTCGACTAACACTGACTAAAAATTATTTTAGTCACCTATTAGGTTGTATTTAGTGACTAAAGTGTTTTTTATTCGCCAATAAACATTATATAACTACTAAAATAATGTAGTAGCTAAAACCAATGCTGACTAACATCAATTTTAGTCGCCAAAAGTGATATTTTCGGGGACTAAAATTTTTTTGGTCGCCAAAATTAGTCGCCAAAAGTGCATTTTGTTGTAGTGCATTGTCATGCTTTTTATTTTTTTCATTAATGTCATTCCCGCCCAAGAGTTATCATGCCTTCCAAGCCAGTAATAGTCACATTCAATAATCGTTAGGCCAGATGTTTCTTTCATCAAATCATCCAAAATTGTTAATTAATTTTTCTTGATATTTTCGAGGACTAAAATTTTTTTGGTCGCCAAAATTAGTCGCTAAAAGTGCATTTTGTTGTAGTGCGTTGTCATGCTTTTTATTTTTTTCATTAATGTCATTCCCACCCAAGAGTTATCATGCCTTCCAAGCCAGTAATAGTCACATTCAATAATCGTTAGGCCGGATGTTTCTTTCATCAAATCATCCAAAATTGTTAATTAATTTTTCTTAATCATCAAACTATCTAAAAATTAAATATAAAATTACTAACACATTACATGCACTGCTAATATATATATATATATATATATATTTGTTTATTTTTTTATATATATGCATCATGTATACCTATATCAAATAAAAATTACGAAAGCTTTCCAACAATAAACACAAGAATAAAATCAAAGTGACATAAAAATAGCCTATTAGAAGCCAAAGAGTTGGCCTGATGGTCAAGAGTTGAAGCCTAGAAGTGTATTCCTTCTAAGGTTTCAGATTCAAAACTTTCTCGATACAAATAGTTTCTTGAGGCCAATTTATACTGAACTTTGCCTTGAATTTAATTGGGTCCCCCGCTAATGGGCGGTGGAATTGATCTTCTGGATTAGTTGGCTTAATGGGCTGAATACCAAGTCAACCATCAAAAAAAAAAAAAAAGAGTGGCCTATTAAATAATATAGGGCAAATTATGTAAATGGTCCCTATAGTTTACACGTTGTGTCATTTTGGTCTCTCTAATTTCAATTTGCTCAATTTTGACCTTAAATTTTGAATTTTTTATCATTTTGGTCCAATTGAAAATGGAAGTTAAGAAATTGGACATAAAAGGCCTATGTGGACAACATGTGCAAAGTTTTGAAGAATAAAAAATTCAATTTGCTCTCACTCTTAGTTAACTCAATGATTATCTAACTCAAAGTGAGTTAACTCACTCCCATTTAACTCAATGATATATATATATATATATGTATTATCTCTGTATGTATATATCTTTGTGTTCAGAATTGGTTCAGTGCTATGACAGATGAGGGTTTGAATGGGTTCTTCAATAACACACTATCTCGGCCTCTAGAGCTTCAAAGCGAAAAAGAATTGGTAGAAAAGCTTCAAGTAATCTGTTCCGACCCAAATGCAACTGATTGTTCTTCGGACGAAGAACATGGTATGAAGGTAAATAAAAAGCGAATCATTCATCAAATTGATCTCGAGGATGTCGTTCCTTCTGAAGGAACAACAACCTAGAAAAACCCTCTCTCAAAAAAAGAAGAAGAAGAGGGTTTCGATTCAATCTTCGAAGAAGAAGTTGAATTCGAAGAGTCCTTACAAGGAGGTTCAACAAAGAAAATGGGGGAAATGGACTGTTGAGATTTGAGACCCTACTAATAAAATTCGCATCTGGTTGGGCACTTTCAACACTGCCGAAAAGGCCTATATATGAAGTCTATCTCGCCAAGAAGATCGAGCTAGAAGATAAAAAGGCTAGGATTGCTGTGATTTGCAAGGGACTAAATGGTGTTCAACTGGTCGTGCCTCCTTCTTCTATGCTTGCCAAAGATGGCCCTGTTTTGCCCAATGATAGTGGTACAGAGATAGGTGCGGATGTTCAAAGTGGTGGTCTTGGTTTGCAGATTATCGACAAAAATGGTTTTCTTTTGGGAGAATTTAGTAGCCTTGATGATATGCGAATTGGCGATGCCAAAGAGGAAAACAACTGAGCACGACTCAAAGATATCTTTGTTAAACGATTGCCAGTATGTAATGATTTCACAGTTTATAATGGAATTGCAAGGTTTGAAGACTGTTGATGGAGAGGACCCAAAGATATCTTTGTGTTGTGATTTTTGATCTAGGACTGAAAATTAGATTTTGTTTTGTAATTTTTGATAGTTGTGATGGTCTGTTGATGTTGGGATTGTTGTTTGGCTGTGGCGGCAGTAGCGAAAGGCAGTGGAACGGCGAACAACGATGGTCGGTGCCTCTGTTCAATCACACACAAGGAAGAAGCTAAAAGGGAAAGCAAAACGTCTATTTTGCCCTAGGAAACCAATCATACGTTATTCACGTGCAAATTTTCCGTCCAATTTCTTAACTTCCATTTTCAATTGGAACAAAATGATACATAGTTCAAAACTCAATGTCAAAATCGAACAAATTAAAATTAAAGGAATCAAAATGATATAACGTGTAAATTACAGGGACTATTTACAAAATTTGCCCAATAATATATGACATTTTTGACGATATCATTATATATTGGAGTGACATATGAAATAGCATGACACATATGAAACAAGAGACAAAGTCCTTACAAAATCCATTGCCCTTAGCCTATATACATAAACCCAGTCTTAAATATAGTCAAGTGTTTCAAGAATTTCAATTTCCAGTTACTTCTTGACCAGTCATTGGATCTTTCCTTTGACTTTTAATCTCTGCATCACTCAAGTATCGTGCAAGTTTACGTGTCTTATTCCAAACACTCTCGTCACTTCCATGGATGTCACCTATTCTTGATTGATGGTGTCTATAATTCCTTAGTAGATGAGCAACGAATATTAGAAAACAAATGCAGGATGTGACAATGGAGAAGAGGAATAGGCCCCAGAAGCTTTCTAAGCCCAAGCTATCAACGTTCTTGGTATTCTGGGAGTCTAAGCACTCTGATGATGGAGTTAACCACTCCTCTTCCAATCTTTTGAGGGAACCATTTTCCGACAATTGTAGAATGGCTTTAGAGACATCATCAGCTATTGGAGAACCTTCTTGAAACACCTGTGGAAAACATGATGATGCTTTTGTTAGTCATCCAATGTAGATAAAAATAACAGTTCGTTTAATAACATGAAAACCATAAACAAAACAATATACCAAAATATATGTATGGATAGAATTTTACAAGATTTGGTGATGAAACCCACTTTTCAAAACGCATGTCCATCAATATATTTTTTGTGACTTATTGTAAAAATAAAGGTTGAAGAAGAAAACTTGAAGAGTGTTGATTAGTGGTTAGCAATGAGGGTGTTCAAGCATGGAAGAAAACTTGAAGATGCATGATATATTAAAAATCTATTTTATGTAAAATTTTGAGATTAAAGAAGCGGAAAGAGTGCAAAAAGCTTAGTTGGATTCACTACTCACAAATCCAAATCCTCCAAATCTATAAGTGGATCCAATGACGGTGTATTTCATGCAATAATTGTTGGTGAAAACTTTGGCATAAGGGATCTCGAGAAAGGCTGCCGAGATACTTCCATTTTTGAATGCCTTGAGATATTCGTCTTGGTCCCTAATGAGCTTAACATTTTCTGATTTATATTTAAGCACATCCTGCACATATGTACTCATAAATGCATTTGCATCACAACCAACTTTGCTCATGGGGTTAATGTTTGGTTGTAGTCGGGAGATTGTAAGCATTGAAGTGAGACTGGCAGTGAAACTCTGTGTTAAGATCAGCACCACAAAAAGCCACACGACAACCACAACTCGAGTGTAGTTACTTTGAATCTTCTCCCCTGGATAATGAAACATTGAGTTTATAATGAGTTTGGTAAAAGTAAAGTGCAATTTTAGTAGAAGTGTAGATGTTTTACTGAAGTAATAAAAACCTGTTTGGCTAACACGTCTGTTATCATCAGTCTCATTAATGCCATAGACTAAAAGCTAATATTAGAATTTGCCTTAAAGTTTAAGGATTGACTATCACAATTGAAATAGATAGTTCAAACTGAAAAAAATAAAAAATAAAAAAATTGTGCATGTACCAAATTTCACTTTAGTCCCTACAAATGAAATTGTGATAGTCAATCTTATGCATTTTTGGTCAAATTTCATTTTGGTCCCTACACATAAAATCGTGACAATTAACTACTTGTACTTCTGGTCAAGTTTCAATTTGCCCCTTCTGTTACACTATTATATAAGTTTTTAACAAAATCTAATCATGCAACAAACATGTGACTACGAAATGAGGATAACAGAGGAAAATCATTTTTATTTTTCACCAATATATACTTTGTCTCATGTGATAAATATATGAGAGTTATATAATACAATGTGTGTGTGTGTGTGTTCTGCATATGTTGAAAATTAGCATAAGATGTAAGAAAGTAGAGCATTTGAAATAAATAAATAAATAAAAATGGGCAGTAGAGAAATTGAAGACTCTGTTACAGTTGAAAACGAAGTTCATTATTCCAATTTTTATAAAACCCTAATTTATCTCCTTAATCGTTCACAATTTAAGTTTTCTTTTAACTGAATACAATCAAATTTAATATAAATTTTAGGATGAAATGTGTATAGAGGGGAAATTTGGGTGATTTTTCTCTTTTGCCATCATTTTATAATCATACGATTATTACATTACTGATTTCTATCACTACAAGAAAAAACACTTTCCGTGACCAACATTTTGGTCGCGAAAAGTACCATATTTGGTCGCTAAAACCTTTTCGCGACCAAAATATGTTGGTCGCAAGTTGGTCGCTAAAGCCTCGTCACAGATAGTTTTCTGCGACCAAAAAAGCCTTTGGTCGCTAAAAGTGACCATTCGCGACCAACTTTTTTGGTCGCGGAAAGTTCAATTTATATTAGCCAAAAGTAAACTTTTAGCGACCAAAGATAAGTTGGTCGCCAAAAGTCAGCGCCTTGATCCAAAAAAAATAATTCTTTTGTGCTCCCTGGGACTTGAACTCCTGACCAAGGAGTCACCATGCACCCAATCCATTCTGCCACTCTGCCAATAACATACTTCTTGTTCATATTTGGCAAAAAAAAATATATAACCCATAAAAATTGGGTTATATATTATTTTATAAAACTTTTAATGCCTAAATAGAAAAATAGCATGTAATTACTGTAGTATCATTTTTTTTAAAATTTATCCCGCCATAACTTTCCGCGACCAACTTTTTTCTTTGGTCGCCAAAGGGTAATCTTCCGCGACAAAAAAAGCCTCTGGTCGCCAATAGTATACTTTCCGCAACCAACTTTTTTTTTTTTGTCGCCAAAAGGTGATCTTCCGCGACCAAAAAAGCCTTTGGTCACCAATAGCATACTTTCCGCGACCAACTTTTTTTTTTTGGTCGCCAATAGTATACTTTCCGCGACCAACTTTTTATTTTGGTCGCCAAAGGATATACTTTCCGTGACCAACTTTTTTTTTGGTCGCCAAAAGGTGATCTTTCGCGACCAAAAAAGCCTTTGGTCGCCAATAGTATACTTTTCGCGACCAACTTTTTTTTTTGGTCGCCAAAAGGTGATTTTCTGCGACCAAAAAATTGTGGTCGCCAAAAGTTAAATTTTAGTCGCAGAAAGTGTACTATTTGCGACAAAAAAAAAATAGGTGGTCGCCAAAAGTGTTTTTTCTTGTAGTGTATTAAAGAGTTATATGATGAAGTGCAGGGAGAAAATTGTCAAGATTTCATAAGTGTAGGGAGTTAACTGTTACGATTTCATGTATAATGATCAAATTGATTGTCACGATTTCATATATAGAATTGATTTTGTGCAAAGTGTAAGAGTGCAATGTGTAATTCACCCAAAATACAAATACAAAACTACAAGTGTAATTCAACCATAAAAGCAAGATCAAAGATAATTTTAAGTTACTATTTTAAGGTACTAAGACAATTTTTTGAACACCCCAAAAGTGAGTAGGTAAGTAGCTATAGCCATATGGCTAGCGTATAAGAAAGCTAGTAAAATCTTCATAGGGAAGTCTTGCTTGCATTGTTCTTATGCCCAATACTACAAAAAGCATCTAGCTTCTGTCTTGTTAGAAAGAAATGGAGTTCTGCCCAGCTGGGCTCGCAAGGTTTATAACGAATTTCATTCTAATAATTTAAATTGTTTATCACCAAAAATAAATAATAAAAGTCACATTGATATAAAAATTGTCACCACGTAATTTCATCAAATTGCCTTTAAAAAATGAGAAAGTAAGTGTAAAAAATAAAAAAATAAAACAATGTTCACACAAAGTTAAATTAATGATGTTTAGATGGGATGGCACTAGTCCCATAGAGTTGTCATGGGTGGCACAATTTGAATTATACATATGCAATTATTAGCATACTTTCTAAGGAAATGTTCACACAAAGAACAAAGGATGAGTAAACCATAGGTGTAGGAGTTGATTGTCACGATTTCATATATAAAATTGATTTTGTGCAAAGTGTAAGAGTGCAATGTGTAATTCACCCAAAATACAAATACAAAACTACAAGTGTAATTCAACCATAAAAGCAAGATCAAAGATAATTTTAAGTTACTATTTTAAGGTACTAAGACAATTTTTTGAACACCCCAAAAGTGAGTAGGTAAGTAGCTATAGCCATATGGCTAGCGTATAAGAAAGCTAGTAAAATCTTCATAGGGAAGTCTTGCTTGCATTGTTCTTATGCCCAATACTACAAAAAGCATCTAGCTTCTGTCTTGTTAGAAAGAAATGGAGTTCTGCCCAGCTGGGCTCGCAAGGTTTATAATGAATTTCATTCTAATAATTTAAATTGTTTATCACCAAAAATAAATAATAAAAGTCACATTGATATAAAAATTGTCACCACGTAATTTCATCAAATTGCCTTTAAAAAATGACAAAGTAAGTGTAAAAAATAAAAAAATAAAACAATGTTCACACAAAGTTAAATTAATGATGTTTAGATGGGATGGCACTAGTCCCATAGAGTTGTCATGGGTGGCACAATTTGAATTATACATATGCAATTATTAGCATACTTTCTAAGGAAATGTTCACACAAAGAACAAAGGATGAGTAGAAGGGGCAGTTAACTTGTTTCATCTTGGCCACGCTCCCTTGCTAAAGAGTCTCCTCTTACGGCCTGCCATAGTCGAAGCTACTCTGTCATGATATAGACTAGTTTCAAGTTCAAACCCTAGTCCCTTTGGCAAAGGCAAAAAAGAATGCCACTTGTCCTAGGACCAAATGATTCTTCTTGCCCAATGGGTCTACATCCATCCCTGAATGTTGCCATACATTAATTTAACTGGGATGACACTTGCTTGATAGAATTGTCTTGAATGGCACTAAATGAGTGATATATAATTCAATTGTTAATCTAATTGCTTTATTTTGAAATATACTTACTATGAACAAGGAAAAGTGAAGAGAAGGTGAACCAAAGAACATTTCCTAGTTGATCCTTCCATGGACCACTGAATTCTGGATTGGATCGATGTTCCAAGAACCAGACAATGAACATTGTGTACATCAAAATGGCCCCTGTGGCTAACCACATTTCCATAGTGAAAGGCTCAAGAAATATCCATGCTTTGGAAGCAGGCTTTACAGGAACTACCATCGACAAGCCTGACTCGGTAATTGGTTGTGTGAATTCCACGCCCATCCAACGTTCAGCTAGTATAGTTATATCACCAACAGCTCCACCAAAAGTCTTCCACAAATGTTGATCCACAAAAAAAATAATGATAAAAAAATAAGCTTATGTGGAATAGTTTAAGGAAAAATAAATAAATTGATGCAACACATTCACATTTTTCATCATCTCTCTTACCGACAGCATAAAGGGCTCAAGACTTTTGCCTTACATAAGTAAAGTAGTAGTGAGATGATCATACGAGTCAGGCAAGGAATTTAACACATCATCTCTCTTACCGACAGCATAAAGGGATTATCTGATATATCTAGGATAGGAGATTATGGCTGGGGAATTAGTTGGGCGAAGCCCTAGACAATTTTTTGAGTTTAGGAAAAAAAAATTAAGGGCAATAGTTCAATCTGTTAAAAAAACCATATCCTCCAAGCACCATGTTGAGCACCACAGCTCCAATCTAGACAAAATATATAGGTGGAGATTTGTGTTCCAAAAAATACGTTTGTTCCCTTCCAATGTTGCTTCACTGATAATCTCACACCACTTGATTTTTTAAATTAAAACTCATATTGTATGACTATGAGAATATGGAACAGAGACAATCATCTTTTTACCAACAAATCGAATTATATATATATATATATATATATATTAGTTTTTCATTTGAATTGAATTGATGGCTGATGTGCATTGATGATTTGGACTGAGGCCTTGTTGATTTTCTAATTATGAAGGTGGAGTGGTCTTGTTTTTGGCATTGATGCACTGTGCACTAATGTTTGGGGGATGAATCTGCACTAATTTGATGCTTTGTTTTTTCTGTTGGTGCTCTGGTTTGGTGATCTGCACCTATGCTCTGCTGCTCATGCTGGTGGGCTGTAGGTGGTAGTTGGTGGTTGTTTTTGTTTTTTCTGTTTCTTTGGTTGGTTGCTCACCAACTCTGGGGTGTTAGCAAATGATAGGATGGACTTTTTTGTGCCAACATAGTTGGGATGATGTAACCCATTGTGATGCTTTTGCACTTGCCTTTCTTTATTGATGTATTTTGTTTTGTACTTTGTACTGTGCTTTACATCAATGAAGTTTCATTTATGCACAAGAGCGTTGTTGGAGATAGATTTATTACCTTGTTAGCGACATTTTCAACCAAATCTCGATAGGTGCCATTGAACTCCACAAATTTGTAAGGTAGATCATAGTCCAAAATCTTGAGCACCTCCTTAAAAACACTAATGCAAAAGCCATCATAGGTCACATTCGTATTCTTGGTTGATGGCGTTATCTTTACAAAGGCGTCAAAAGCAGCTCTACCAGGTACTCCGATTATCAGTGGATCTTCCAAACTAGGCATTGCCCATCCTTTTGGAACCCGCTTTAGGTTTCCTAAGCTTTTCCTCCAATCATCTAACAATTTCATAAAAAAAAAAAATAAATAAATAAATTTATATAGATTTTTTGTATAGAAGGTATGGCTCAAAATGAATATTTTGCTAGGTTAAAAAAAAAAAAGGCCCATGGAAAAAAAAAATCACACAAACAAAGATAAATAACTGAGTTTTCAGTGAAAAAATCACTACCTTTTCCATTTGAGCCATTCTTTCCGCTTTTTGCAGCATCAAGACTTTTCAAGAACCCGAACTCAGGAGACCAATATTCCAGCTTGTTGTATGTCAGATTGAAGACATTGATTACCCCATATATAGGTTTGTATGATAGCCTCTCATCTTCAAAATGAATTTCACCACTTAAACCACTGAAATTGCTTGATAATATAGTATCCAACAACCTTGTTGAAGTAGTACTACTAGTGCTATGAGTCAATCTCTCCAAAGCCACTATAACAGTTGCAATGCTATCGTATGCTCTCAGGGCATAAATCCCAGGGTTAGAGTTATCTTCTTCTGGATATTCAAATCGGAAGCTCTGCTGAAATTGTTTTTTGAAATCTTGAAATGAAGTAGTGTTTTCCGAATAGTCTATCTTGATTCCAAAAACACCTTCCATAGAAGAGATGAAAGAAGTATTAACAGAATCCAAGAAGCTTGCAATGGTGTCTGTAATTACCCAATCTGAGTCTTTTCCTATGAATCCCATCTTCCTTGCCTCACTAAACAAAAGACTAGTAAATTGTAATGATGATTGAAGAACGATGAAAGCTCTAGGTTGTATGTTATTCAATTTCATCAGCTCCTCACGAACAAACTCTAGGGGATGAGATAGAGATTGAAATGGTGGAATGACTAAATGATGCTCAATAACTGAGCCAACATTGTGAAGTGCATCAGACAACATAGCTAGCATGTTGGAATCACCGGAAAACATGTCTTCTTCATAGACAACGATGACCCTTTGCCACTTGAATGAGTGAACCAGAGCTGCAGTACAATCCATCTGATTAGAAACGTTAGTAACCATTTGTATCAAGAAAGGCCATTGAGTCGTTTTGGTAGCTCCAATTGCAGCTGCAAGTGAAATAACTGGAACTTGTGCTTGGTTTCCGATTTTGGCTACTAAAGCTGTTTCCGCCCATGTCTCCATGCCTATAATCACTTGCACTTGCTTCTCCTTAATTAGTTGATCAGCTGCGACATAATTTCAAAACTCGAATTAATCTAAACCCGAACTTACTATCAGCATCATGATCAATCATTAATTATTAGGCCATACAAAATGACGTTTTATATCATTTCCATAGTTCTAAATATCGGCCGATACGCTACATATCGGCCGATACGTACCGGAAAAATGGGGTACCGCGACGGATACAGGCCGATATACCACTGAGATTAAAAATCACAGGAGTATCGGCCGAGTCCCGGTACGTATCGGCCTGTAAGCATTACACAAGTCGCGACGGGCCGATACTCACATGTTCGGACCGGTACGGGAAAGAAAAAGTTGAAAAACCTTTGAAATGATTTTTAAAATTTCACCACCGCGACACCCGATTCCCGATACGTACCGATTGATACTACCGATACCGATACTCCGCGATCGATACCGTTACGTTACCCGATACCACGATTTAGAACCTTGATCATTTCATTTCAATTAAAAAATTTATCATTGGGACTTGCAATTACAAAAATATCAATAATATATAATTTTAGATGAGTTTTATTTGTAAAAATTCTATTTTTTCAATCATTCTCCAAACGTACGTATGTAATATTTAGGATTAATTGTTAACTCCAAGCTCCTCTTTATTGATGCATTGTATCACATCTTGTATGCTTCCATCAATAAAGATTTCTTTTGCCAATCAAAAAAAATATATATTTATGATTAATTACACTAGTTATCAAAATTTGTGTTTTGTTTCACTTAAGTTTCTAATATTTTTATTTATTTATTTATTTATTTTCAATTTAATCTACAAACTTCAAAATTATGAGTTTAAAATAGTTCCCAACACTTGACGCAGTAACTAAAGTTCGGTACTTTCAAAATTTTGTGAAAAAAATGCAACACATATAAAATTTCGAGAAACTCAGTTCTAAATAATTGATTTAGATGACGTGAGCGTTAGATCATTAACAATCAGTTTGGATGGAATGATTGGTGAGAAATCATATTAAAAAAAAAAAAATTCTCATGTCTAATTTATAAATTAAGTTCAAAATTATATTAAAAAAATTGTTACTTTTGTATGGTTCTTGTTGGTTCTTATAATTTTAATTTAGCCAATTTTGACTATGAATTAATTATTTTGTCTCAATTTAATCCAATTAATTACAACTATTAGCATTTTTTTATGGAAATTGTATACATAAACGGCATGTGCTATATTTTTGGAAGCAAAATTAGAAATGTGAGAAAAACCAAAAAACTGATCAACCTATTGAATCGGACTGAACTGGTCATATTTGGTTTGGTTTTTTAATAAGAATTAGTCTGCCCGTTTTTAAATTTAATTTTTTTCAATTAAGCACCTTGTGCACCGAATTAGACCGAAACCAACTACTTAAGTATTTCAGTAATCATTTTTCAGTATTTCAGTAATCATTTTTCATCAAAAACTGAACTGGTGTTATCAATGGAACCAATTTAACACAAAATTCAAAATCAAGAATCAAAATCCAACTAATAAAAATGTAGTGACTAAAATCAGACATGAAACTACCAGAACTGCCAGCTGCCAGCGTAATTTAACATTAATTACATCTCACAATACAGAAAATGACAAGGAATCCGATAAGGGGATGAAGCACATCCTCCAATTCACGCATACAAGGAAAACAAACAAAGCAAATAAAAGAAAAGAAAGCTAACCAGCATAAGCTGCTTGCAAGGGGTCTCCGCCGGAGCTACTGAAATAGAGAGAGAGCTTGTTGTTGAAGTTATCAACAGCTATTTTCATGGCTGTCATTTGTTCTTTGCCGATACGAGAATTAACATCGATGATTACACCAACGTTTGTGGTGGTTATGTTATCAGTTTCAACGACAGTGCCATGGGAGATAGTGCCAAAGAATGAGACAAGTATGGGGATGAAGACCAACGTGATGATGGGTTTTGATGAAGATGCCATTTTAGAGATTCAACTATGTCGACCAACAGGAAGATGGTTCATTTCATGGACTCTTTTATTGCATAAATATATAGAAATCCATATAGACGTATATTTAGCCTTCCTTTGGGATATGGGTTGGCATTTTGACTTTTCATTGTTTTAATTTGGGGTTAAAAAATCTCACTTAAATTGAATTTTTAATTTTTTTAACTTTTGTGAGAGAAAAAATAAAATGATTTTAATTTGGATGTGACATTTTACCTTATTAAACTAAAAAGTCAACTTCAATTTTTTTTTTTTTTTGGTACTAAAATAGCTCAACACAATCCAAACCTTCTTGCTAAACAGTTATAGATATTTTAATATAACCGTTTGGATTTTGAAGAGCACATGAGAGAAATGTGATAGATATTTTAATAGACGGTTATATTATTAGATTTGAAAATGAGTTTAATTTTAAAGTAGCATTACTCTAAATCTAAACACATGTTTATAGGTAAATTATATTAGTAATTTATCCACTTTGTCTCTTGTGCCATTTTAATCTCTATAATTTTAATTAGTTTGATTTTGACTATTAATTTTAATTTTTTTTATCAATTTGGTTCAATTATAATACCGATTAAGATTTTTCAAAAAAAAAATGATCGTTAAATTGATTGAGGTTAATTCATTGAGTTATATTTTATATATATATATATATATATAATTTTTCCTATAAAAAATATAATACATGCCACTTATGTGTGCATTTTCATAAAAAATACTAACAATTGTATTCAATTCGACTAAATTAAGATAAAATCATAAATTTAATGTTAAAACCAAGTTAATTGAAATTATATAAACTAAAATAACACAAAGATTAAATATAGCAACTACTGATGTAATTTGTCCCATGTTTATTATATGGAAAATGTCTCGTAACTCAAATTTTGTGGCTTAAAAGTGGCTCAAATGGCCAAAACGACGTCGTTTTGGCCATTTTTATGTTGTTTTGTACTCAAAACGACGTCGTTTTGGCCATTTGAGCCACTTTTGAGCCACAAAATTTGAGCTACGTAGCATTGTCGTATATATATATACAACTAATTTGAATAATTTTATGTATTTAGAAAATTGGATAAATTACACCTTTAAATCTTCTAATTTGACTCTAATTTTATTTTGGCAGCCATAATTTCAATAATGTGAATTCTTGACTTTAATTCCAATTTTAGTTTGATGATTCCGCAAAAATTTCACATTAAAATTCATGACTTCATAATATTGTTCAATCTGATATGGAGTATAAGCAGAAAAATTTGACCACAATTTGAATGGAATAAAAAAAATTGAAATTGGGCCTACAGTCAAGGCTTCCCATGTTTAAATCATACTATAAACCTACTGAATAACATTTTTGGTGGCAAAAGGTTTCTGGTTCAACTTTTATGAAAAGAAATTTAATATTTTTTATAATGGTATTGATTTCTCCTTTATTATACGGGCTTATTATAGGGGTTGTACTGAGGTCAAGTTTAGGAAGCGTAAAAAAAATTAAAAAGTTAAAAAATTATTTAAAAAATTAAAAAGTTATCATTATTTATTAAAATTCAAAAATTACGACTGTATAATTATCAGTATTAATTTTTTTTGTACATTAATTTATACAATTTTTTAATATATATTTTTTCATAAAAAGTCAAATAATTAATCCAAACATTCATATTTTTTTTCTTAACTTTTTAATTTAAAAAGATAAAAAATACATTTATTTAAAACACTCCAAACAACTCTTAAGTAGTATTGGAACTGTTGTTAGGCTTAGGTTAGTATTTTGGCTTTTAGGTAAGCTCGATAGGCCTTGTTGACTTTCACGGGTTAATAATCTATTTTATGATATATTATTTCTTATATTCGTAATTACTTTTTTATCGATTAACTAAATAATTGAAATTATAAGTATTAAAATGATATTTGAATTAAATTACAAGGATGAAAAATAAAATTTACCGTAAAAATTGTTTTAAAAGTGTCTAAAATCCATATTTATTTATGATATAAATTTAAATTTAGCTTCCGTTTGGAAAGTAAGTTGACTTTTTGACTTTTTTGGTTATTTGAGTCTGAGCTCAAAAGCTTGGTTTGGGAAGGGCTTTTTGGCTTTTTTGACTTTTTTTGTAAGAGAAGAGTGTAATGATTATGGATTGGATGTGATGTTTTGTCTGTTGTGACTCAAATAGCCTATTCTGTCTTTTGTGGCTCAAAGAGCCAAAAGAGCCCAAATGAGCTCTTCCCAAATAGCCTCAAATGGCCCTGTTTGGTAGAATTGTGAGAAAGTGCTTATAGTTTATGCCTTAACAGCTTATAGCTTATAGCTTATAACTATGAATATAAGCTGATTTCTGACTTATAAATTAAGTTTCTCCTGCCCCACTCAAAGAATAAGCTCATTTCTGACTTACAAAAAGCTATAAGCTGCATTGTTATGTTAAACCAAACACATCAAAATAGTTTAAATTAAGTTGAAAGCTGAAATAAGCTGAAAAAAAGCTGTACCAAACAGGGCCACATGTCATAAGCAAAATAAATATAATCTACATATTTTAAATTATAGACACTTTTTCAAAAAAAAAAAAAAAAAAAAATTGTTTTCAGTTTTCTTCTTTCTAGAGACTTAGCATTGTTCTTATAATTTTCTTCCTATATCAATTTTAGTTATGTAATTTCAACTATATTCATTTTACCCTTTAATTATTTCACATTGTGCCAATTTATTCAAATTCTAAACATCTTATAAGACATTAAATTGAAATAAAAAATAAAATAAACCATTCTTGTAAATTAGACGTCAACGAACATATTACACCACATTAATTTCTCCTTACACATACATGTGCAGGCCTTATTTAATATAGTACTAGTATTGCAATGCATAAAAGAGGTGCAATGAGAAATTTAATAGCACCACATTAATTTCTCCTTAAACATACATGTACGGGTCTTATTTAGGCCAAGTTTGGCATCTTTTAAAAAATTCAAAAAGTCAAAAAGTCACTATCCTATTTAAGTCACATCATCTCATTTAAGTCACATCACCTCTCTAACACATCACTTCAAACCCAACCCAAATCCAACCCATATTTCATAAAAAGTCAAAAAGTGCACTTATTTAGTCTTCCCAAACTTGGCCTTAATATAGTACTAGTATTGCAATGCATAAAAGAGGTGCAATGAGAAATTTAATAGGTGTAAATAGAACTTTCCGCAGTCAATTTCTCAATCACATTGAAGAAAGAATAGACTATTTTTATTTTTAATTTTAGGCCAAGTTTGGGAAGACTAAATAAGTGCACTTTTTGTCTTTTTGGACTAAAAAATTGAGGTTGAAAATATGGATGTTTGGGTTAACTTTTTGACTTTTTATTGAAAAATGTGTAATAAAAAATTGTAAAAATTGATTTGTAGAGAAAAATTTGAATTGGGAGTTGTGCAGCCGTAATTGTTGACTTTTGGTGAATAGTGTTAACTTTTTAACTTTTTGAGTAACTTTTTGACTTTTCGATTTTTTTGGAACATCCCAAACTTGGCCTTAGTCTAATTTTTAAAAAACCATTATCAATTAGATTAATGATTCATTAAGAAATTGACTTGTTTAATGACTTTTACGACAAAAATATGAAAGAAAGTAGGGAGAATATGTTGACTTTTTAACGTAATTTTTTGACTTTTTAACTTTTAATTACTTTAGTCACTTCTCAAACAAGACTTGAATATACACAATACAAAAAAATTTAGTAATAAATTGATATAGAGCTTGTTTGGGAAGGAAAAGCCTAAGGCTTTTTGGCTAAAATAATCACATACAAAAAATAAAAAATAAAAATAAAAATATTAAAAAGTTAATAAGATAAAATATCACATCCAAATCATAATTAATTTATTTTTTCTCTCACAATAGTCAAAAAAATTAAAAAAACTCATCTCAAACGTGCTTTTCAACCCCAGACTAAAATAGCTAAAAAGCTAAAAATCAACCCGCATCCCAAACGAACCCATAATTAAAATTATTAAGATAAATAAATAAGATTAAAAATATAAAAACTAAATTAGTACAAGTGATAATTATTGGAATTATCAGTATCATTTGTTGTAATTTAAATCAATAAATTATGAATTTAGATTTAATGATTCAAAAAATTACTCAAAATTATGATCTTGTATTGAAATTTATTCTATATATCAATATTATATAATTTTTTTAAAAAAAAAATTATAAATTTAATTTTTACCAGATAATCATTCATTTAAAAAAATGTGAATAAAAAGTCCTTGCACCGGACTTTGAATTTGATAGGTGTACGGACAGAGAGATTGTGAGGTGCAAGGCAATTTCTGCTCAAAGTTCAAGTTAAGTAACCGACGTAACCGATGACTTTGGCAATGTCTTCTCCTTTTTCGTCAACGTCGCCTGTGTCTCTTTGTAATCTTGTGATCCACTTGTTGGATTTATTTCAATATTTCCTAATGCACATTTTTTTTTTATAAATATTTTAGAAATGATGTATAATAGAATTTAGTGGGTGTTTAGAAAGTGGGTTTCTTTTTAGGTTTTTTTAGTTGTAAGATATTATTAGAGGAAAAAAAATTGTATTTGAGAAGATAGTTAGCTTTTTTTGTAGTTAGATATGATGTTTGTGAGAGAAAAAATGAAATGATTATGGGATTTGATGTGATATTTTGTTTGAATTTATTTTTTTTTTTTAAACATCTGTCTTGTAGTAAAAAAAAAACAAAAAGAAAAACCCCAAAAATCAAGTTGCCAAGCACCCATGTCTAAATTTTTACTTATTTATCTTTGTATCACATGTCCCTTATTTTTTTTATTTAAAATAAAAAAATTAAATAAATACGAAGAAAGAAATTCAAATATTTGACCTTGAGTCTATTGAAGAAGATTTTTATCATTTAAATGGCACATAATATATAATAAACATTTTAATTTACAATAAATTATTCAAATGACACGATATGTCAATTTGGTCAATGTTATTTTAATTTGCTTGATTTTACCTCCTACTTTAACAGATTATGTTGTATTGGTCCAATAAATAACAGCCGTTAGGTTTGATGGACGTAAA